GGGTGCTTTCTGTTTGTGCCAACACTTTTAGAGGTATTTTTGGAGTTTTCCCTGTCCTTTCTCTCTCTTCTTACGTAATCCTGATAGACAAAATCTGTTTTGCTCGTTATGAGAGCATGGTGCAGAGCTTGGGTGGCAGGCCTTCCCTAGTGGGACAAGTGCAGAAGTCCAGGAGGGTCGCCACTGCCTGCTCCCCACCTCCGCCCTGAGCTGGGCCAGGTTTCTGTGGGGTGGACAGGGGCATGCAGTTTTACAGACCGTGCCTGGCCAGCCTCCCCCACAGACACCTCACCTCCTAAATGCGGCCTTTCTGCTGAACGTCCCAGCTCACCTGGTGTGTCTGGGATTATTTTCTGCACTTCAGGTTTGCAGACCACTCTATCTGTGTCTATTTTCTTTTATTGCTAGCTAATGGGTAACAGGTTGAGCCAGGGTCTCGAGCACAATAGGAAAGGCCTTGGGGAATGGTTTTATTGATTTCCTCTCATGTGGATTTGAGTGTGCTTAGTTTCAAATGGCAAATCGTTCTCGTGCTTGGTGGCTGTGAACGTTTCTATCTGTGAACTGACACACCTCAGCTGTCCTGACTCACCGAGCCGCACAAACAGGACCCCGGTGGCAGTGATGGTCTTCACACCATTGGTGGCCACGCACTGGTAGTAGCCAGTGTCTGTCGTGTCCAGGTCTTGGATTCTCAGCCGAGAACCATATTCTGTTTTCCGGATGATGATCCGCCGCGGCTCCTGTACGACCGGGGCGTCATTCTTCAGCCACCGCACGTTGGGGGGTGGGTTTCCTGCCACCTTGCAGTGCAGAATTGCTGTCTGGCCTTGGACAATGGTGATATTGTTTACTGGCTCCAGAAAATTCAGAAAGTAACCTGCCAAGGAGAGAGGTCACAAAAGAGCAAAGGTCAGTGAGGGATGGAAGGAAGGGTGGCCTGGGGCTGCTTCATGAACCAGTCTCATGGAAGCGTTTGATTTCCTCATAGAGCCAACCCTCTGAACCTGTAGGCTCTGCATCAGCAGACTCGACCAAATGCAGATTGAAAATATGCAAAGAATAAAATAAAAATAAAAAATAACAACAATAAAAAGTAATACAAATAAAAAAGAGTATAATAACTATTTACATTGTATTAGGTATTATAAGTAATCTAGAGATGACTTAAAGTATCAGGAGGATATGAGTGGGTTGTATGCAAATACAGCACCATTTTATATCAGGAGCTTGAGCATCTGCAGATTTTGGCGTCTGTGGGAGGGCCTGGAACCAAACCCCCATGCACACCTAGGGCGACTATATGTGCCGTCCAGTCTCTTTATTTGTGGTAATTGGTCTAGAATGTCACAGTGAACCCTGAACTAGCAAATATGAGCCATTGCTCCTGGAGAAAAGACAGCATTAGGCTCCTGTGAGCCTCTGGTCACATTTTTGTTCACGAATTAACACATAACTTGTTTTATGTGTGTTTCTGCTCGACGAGAACTCAATATATCTTGCTGATTCTTCTCATTGAACTCATGGCCAACAACAGCACTGTGACTCATGCCTGATGCCCCGCAGGCTTCTTGCCCTTGGGGACATCAGGTAGCACTTCAGCACTATGCCCGGGGGCCCTTTGAAATAGCAAAATTACCAACAAAAAGCACAAAAATTCAAAAAACACGGCACTAAACAGATCAAGAAAAGGACACTTGTTCACAGTAGAAGAGCTGGAACTAGGAAGCTGAGCGCAGCCTTGCTCAACCTTACCTGGGCTGAATGACTCAAAATTTTCACACGTGTTGAGTGACTCAAATTTGGGAGCCTGTCTTTCTGCCCATGAATCATCATAAAGTTACCATGTGTGTTGATCTGGGGGTTACAGATATATTTTAGCCATTAGATGAACTCAAAAATATGGAATCTGAAAATAATGAGAAATCAGTCTTCCCAAACACTAACTCTAACCAGGTCTGGTCTATATGATGTAAATTCATGCTCGGAAAGTCCCTCCTCCCCCCACCACACGATTAAGCACAAAGCCACAATAAATAAAATATAAAAAGATGTGTGACATAACATAAACGAGCTGTTCGTTGGCCTATAGATAGAACAGAAGTTACAGTGTGGAGGGGAGCTGAGGGCTTTGCTCTGCTGTGCCCAGGTCCCGAGCAGGCAGAGGCGGTCCAGGGATCACACACTGGAGAGGCCCCTAGGAAGGGAGCTGGACATGCTGTCCCTGTGTGTGGGGAGCCCAGTGAAACCAGAGGCAGGGGCTCAGGTGTGTGCACATGTCTGTGTACATGTGGGGTGTGTGTGTGTGCGCACGCACGTGTGTGGAGTGGTCAGGGGGCTGGAGGACTGTTCTCTCTCAAGAGAAACATGCAAACTAAAATTCCATAATAGTAAGGAAAACTAATGTTCACCAAGATAACCATCAGGAGATGAACTTACATCAGATAGCTAAAATAACAGCAATCTGAAAAGACTTTTAAACAAATATATTCATGTTCAGAATCTCTTGGCTTGTTTTCTGGTTGGTCCCGATCCTTTCTCTTTAAATAAAGTTGAACAATGGCATATGCCAGTTGTTACTGGTTTAATTAGAAAATTACAGGATTTCTAGTGGACCTGGGCTGAGCAGTGTTGTGGACCGGCCACTGGCCCCCAGATGCTGGGGAGGAAGCTGAGGCTGAGGCAAGCCAGGCCGTGGACCTCCAGGTGCAGGGCGTCTTCCCGCTCAGGGAGGGCAGGTAGGTGCCTGTCTGTGGCAGAGTCCCTAATCCAGTCAGCACAGATTACTGTTTATGATTATTATTAACCACAGCTTTAGGCTCTGCCTTGATTCTCTGCTAGCCAACCCTTCTTCAATGCACCAACGCTGTAGAAGGTACTTGGTATGGATGATGCAAAGCTGGAAGGTAACTGGAACGCCAGTGACAACCCTCTGAAAGGATGGCTGAATCAGGCAGGATGACATTCCGACATGTGCTCTTCATTAACTCAGCCACACATGCCAGCACGGGAGACCTGCACTCCCAAAGCGCCTACACACCGGACCCCATATCTCTATCTCTGTTGAACACAAGACCTCATCTGACTTGACAGTGTTACTTTGATGCAATCTGGGCAGCCCACCCCCACACATCTTTTCCCTGTGTTCTGGCCAGACGAGGCTCAGACTAGGATTGAAAAAAACACTCCTACAGGCTGGCAGTTGCACCCGGGAAGGTGCTGACACAATGACGTGATGGCATATGACGTGATGGCATATGACGTGATGGCATATGACG